GACGCAAAAACAAATTTGAATTATTATTATTGTTTTCCTGAGATAAAATTGAATCGAGTGCGATTATTCATTTTTTTTATACGAGATAATTACTAGAAGTCTTTTTGACACATAGCTCGATTCAGTCGTGAATTTCCGTAGTATTTTGACCACTTTTTCATCAGTTAAACCTGTGGATTTCAACGTAATTTAAAAAATTTCTTTATTCTTTAAGGGGTTATCCTTTTCGTTATTCTCTTGTTATTGAACTTTTAATCTCGCATTTAACTAATCTACTTTCGATTATTAAAACAACATTGGCTCGATTATGCACCGATTTCATAGTTAATCCGTGTTTTTCTTCGATCTCTATTCCTCCGTTATTGCTACAGATTCCGGCATGATTTTTAAAATGTCTTTTCTTTCTTTTAACTGTAAATTGCGTAATTAGAATTTTGAGGATTTCTCTGCAGTGCAAAGATAGGAAAAAAATAGAACTACGTATTTCTCGGATAATTGCTAAAAACACGGGAGAGCACAATTTTTTTTCTTCTTGAACATTGTTTGAGTTCAATTCTCAGACTAATTTTTTCCCTCATTCAAATAATAAAATATGTTTAAAAAAATATCAAGTGTAATTGAGGAGCTCAAAATTTAGTCTCGAGTCAAAATTTTTTGATTGTTTTAGTTACAATCGTATTTCACGAGCCTTGTCTATGTGTATAAGTGTTAAAACGAGAGCTGTAAGTTACTTACTGTTATTGAAATCAAATGATTCACTAGTGTAGATGTTGTCTAAACTAGGGCTCTGCAGAAAGTATTAAAAAACTGAAAATGAAGAAGCTTCAAATTTCTTTTTATGAGCTGTTTTATTTCTTTTTCGGTTTCTCCTGCAATCAAACATGCTTTGATATTTTTAATCCAGCATTTCATAATAGCGCTTTGTCAGATTTTGAATTTTTTCTCCCCTCACCTAAATATTCCTGTGACCCTCATGGTGCCTATTTTTTTTTTTTTTTGNTTCTATCCTTTTTTTTTTTTTGCTTCGTTCATGATAAAGATTCTAAAAAATATATGTTAAGAACGCCCTGTATAGTTATGTATTTCAAAACCTCATAGATAGATACATGATATGCTAACCGCACCTGTAGACAAGCTGGACTGTCTTTTTAAATACCTAGAATAGAATTTCAAGTGTCTCGAGATTTAAAATCGTTTAGCTAGAAATCTGATTTATAACAATTAATCTATGTATTGAATTCCTAGTCCATCCAACATTTTAGAACCAACTCCTATTGACGGTGATTTTTAACTAAACTCTTGCAAGCAAACTCTTGCAATTTCAGCTATTGCATGTTGTAAATAAAAAAAAAGACATTAAAAATTTTTTTTTTTTTGAATTAGCTAAATGGTGTTTTTAAGGAATACTAAAACAAATAAGAACTTATAAAATTAAACTACACTTATTTGAAACTAACATTGCATTACCTTAAAATGACCTTTTGTAAATCAGAACCTCATTATTTGAAATTTTTTTTTAAAAAACTTTTACTTTTATTTGGTGAGACGTAGTTTAACTATTTTAAAATGTTTTAATACATACTTTATCTAGGGAACTATACGATTCTAAACAATTTGCAATATTTTTTAAAGCACTAAATTTAAAATAAATTAGCTTAATGGAGCTCTTGCAGAACGGCTAGTCAGCTAGCAACCGGTCACTTCTTCAGCATTTGAATGTGGGAATAATTCGGGAAAAGCTGACAATACTTTTAAAAATTGTGGTTTAAGCCCAATATTAAAAAAATAAAATTTTTATATGTTTACTTTAAATGTTCCAAGTGAACGATTTGACGCTGAGGGATTAAAGTAACTGCAATATTTTCTGAAATGAATAATAGCATTTGTAGGGAAAACGCCTTAGGTGAGACCCTTCAAAAAATCTAACTTTCTGCACAGATGAGAGGCGATTGATTATACTATCACCCCCTCCCTGTTAAGGCCTGTTTAGACGATCCAATTTCTTGGACAGAGATTGATTGATATTGATGGAAACTTGTTTTGCTTTAAGCTTTGATCGTGTAAACAAACATCCAAGAACTTGGTCCAACTTCTTGGACGATAGTAGAGCATGTTCTACTTTCCATCCAAGTTTTTTCTCCCTTAACCAATCAGCGTCTTAGGTTTTGTGACGTCAACAATCAGGCAGCAAATTATGTCATCTTCCTGTCTGTTTTCATATATTTTAGTCCAAATAAATTGATCTGTTGCGGTTCATTTGTGTTATTATGATTTTATTTGAATTTATTTAGTTATTTTAAACTTATGTAAGTATTATTTTATAATGTTGAATATGAACAATGCGCATGCGCGAGTTTTTCTTTTAACGAATCAGCGACATTCAAGAACTTGGATAGTGTCAACGAATCATCCAATTTCTTGGACAGAGAAATCCGTCCAATTTCTCGGATTCAAGAAATTGGACCGTGTAAACAGGCCTTAAGAATAATTGCAAACCACAGAAGATCAATGCTTTCGAAGAAGTTATTTAGGAAAATCCGTGAATTGAATCTGTGTTCGATTTATTACACGATTTTATTGTGCAATCAGTGGCGTAGTTTCGGTGACGAAACCCCCTCTGAAATTAAACATAACTTGATTAATGAAATATTAATTAAGTAAGTGGGATGTACATATGAAAAGTTTTTATTATTCATTTTTTTGTAATTTAAGCATTCCGAATGAATCTATATGTATATACTAAAACTAGATTTTTCAATATTGCATGTAAAGTTACCTTTTGAAAGTATAGTAATATTCAAAAGCCCCTATGAATATTTGCAAACCGCAGAATAAACTTAATGCTATTCTGCGAACTATGCAATAAAGAGAAGTTTATATTAAAGGGTCATAACTTTTGATCGCTCTCCTGATTAAATTATTGAGGCCATTTTTCAAAATTGCAGCTACTCCCTATGTTTCGAGGGTCAATAATCCGAATCAATCGGAAAATGGTAGGCTTATTCTGAGAAAGTATACAAGATATGTTTTGTAACTCAATAGGAATGGAGTGGTTTGCTTATTCTAGTTCTATCTTGGGGACGTTCAAATATTACAAAAGCAGCTAACGGAGGGGGAGGGGTATCCGAAGAGGAGAGGAGCTAACGGAGGGGGAGGAAAAGTCCGAAATTGCATAAAACAAGCTTACTTAATATTTGAACGGCGCCTTTCGATGCATAGAAATTGGCACTTAGTGCCTGAAAATCTGATCATAAATCAAAAATGATTTAAGGTGATGTATTTTTTTTTTTTATCTTTGCCTCGCTGTACAATAACTGAAAAACTGCAACAGTGTATATCAAGGCCGGGATAGCCTGGTTGGTAGGGCACTGGGCCCATATCCAAGAGTTCGTGAGCTCGTTCCCCGCCGACCGAAGACTCCCAGTGTAGTAAATGAAATGGTGACTGATGCACTTTAAATCTGTCGAGTTGCTAAGTCCTCCATGTTCCCATTACAAATCAATACCTCTGGGTGTACTGATCCAGGAGTTTCCTGTCTTCTGGATTGGTACAAAATTACAAGGCTACGAAGTTGAACAGCAGTAGTCGTACACCCAAAAATTGGGTCGACTATTCAACGACGGATAAAAAAATAAATAAAAAAAAAGCTGTAAATCACATTTTATTCAAAAATAAAATTTTACAAATGAAAATTATAATATTAGACCCTTATTTGTAAAAGAGGAGGAAATGTTGAATTTTCTTGCACGTTAAACTTTGGAAAATCCCGAATTTTTATGTAGATTACTGTATTGATTGTCCCATAGTTTTATTATCCTGCTAACTAACTGAAATCTTTTAGTTTTCCTTTTATCGTGAAGAATTTTTAATGCATATATCATGTATGTTCATAAGTTTTTATTTGCTAAAAAATGAAAAAAAGAAAAGAAACAAAACAAAATTATGCACTGTTTTTTTTTTTATACCTAAACGCTTCCTATAAATATTAAATCTATATCTTTATATAATGCTTTTGTTTTTTTAAATTGTTGGTTAGAAATATAATATCGCTCGCATTCATACATAAAGCCTTTTTTCTATCCTTAGAAGATTATTGTTATCGATAACCATTAAGTATACTTAAACTTTTTCGCATTTTTAATCTTTTTTTTATCTATCAAAATGTCCCAGTTTTTGTGTAGAAATTGATTGTTTTTTTGTTTTTCTTTAGTTTCTTTAGTTATTATGCAAAGTTTTTGTGAAATTTGAGTAATATGTGCTTGGCATCAAAAGATTCTAATTATTTTTTATTTATTTACTTTACTCAAGGTTAACTGCTATTAATTTTTCCATCGTATATTTGGAAGTATAAAAATAATCACATTTTGTTACAGTTTTTCCATGAAAACTTTCGGCAGCTGTAATCGTTATTTGCTCATCACGACATTTCTTTTCTCTTGGCAGACAAATATCTAAAATGTTATATCTTTTTTTCGATATAATACTGAATAATTATCAAATAAATGTGCTAGTACTAATAATGTTCCTTTCTTTTATCTATTAAAATGTGCAAGACTGCTACAACCGTCATCTGCCTACATATTATCAAAAACCGGACAATCGTCATTATTTGTCTATTGCGAAAATTGCCATTTTCGGCAACGTGTTAAATAATATATGATTTTTATCATTTTTGCATTTTAAAATGCAAATTTTCGTCAAAAATTATTGGTTTAGTGGCGTTAATTAAATTATTAAGATTGTTAATGAAAATTTTTGATGCCCACATGTATCAAAAATTTTAGAATAAAAAAAAAGCGAGAGAATATATGATATTGAAATATTATCCTGAATATTTTCTTTGGTTGCACCGCGCCTAAGAAAATTTCAAAGCAAAAAAAAAAAAAGAAATAATTTTATTAAACCCATTCTTTTAAATTTGCGTCTATGACCAATTTTTACCTACTCAAATACGCGGACCTTTTTAAATTTTGTACTTAGTACATTGGCAAAAGTGAATCTAACCTAAACGCAACATGCGCAATTTTACCATCACCCCTTATTGCGTGTTTACTCATCAGCTGAGGGACTCGCCGGCTCGTAGCGTGGGTCTGGGTAGTTTATGGGAAAGATATGGCGTCCGCTCAAGATGCTGAAATGAAACTGCCGTCATCAAAGGTAGAATTCAAACTAAGTGTTTGTTTACAATTTAAAAGCTAGATGCTGGTTCTATTAATCATTAATTTATCAATTAAATTTGATTTCAAGTGTTTTCTAAATGCTATTTTAGATTACAAGCAGTTAGAAGTTTCTTTATTGTTGTTCTCTTGCGTTTTCTGTTGTTTTGAATGAATTATGTGCTAACAAAAACCGCGTGCTTATAAATTTAATTTTTCTCTTTTTACTTTTCGTGATTAAATTTTTTTAGAGATTTTGCACAGGGAATAAATTTCTTTTTATTGAATTCTTGATAGCTATATGTTAGCGTTCTTGCATCTTATCTTATTTACATTAATTAATGCTTTGTCGAACTTATTTACTTTCGCCTTTATTTCCTGCCCTTTTAGATTTTCGATATGGTAAAATAAAAAACAAAATTTCAAAACGTGTTTTTAAAATAAAGCCTATGTATAGTTTTAATGCTGAATTTAATAATTAGCTTTTTAATATAATTTAAAAAAACTAAACATAAATGTTATAAAATAATTTGAAACAACTAGTTGAATTTATGTTTACAATTATATTTCAGTATTAAAAGGCTAATAAAACTCAACTAATATTGTTAATTATAAATTAAGTGCTTATTTTTATATTTTTTATGTAGAAAAAAGATTGGTATTCTTGATAATTAATTGACATACTTTAAAATTTTAGATTTAATCAATGCTTTTAAGTAGGTTGGAATTATTAGATAAATTCTAATATTTTGTGCTTTTATTTTTTCAATATGTTAATTATTGCATCATCTTACTATCTAGAGTCCATTTTTATTGATATATTTCTGTTTAAATAAATATTTCTTAAATGTAATATGAGTAAGTTTTAATAATGCTACATAATTATATCATAAATTTGTCATTAATTAATGTTATGAGGTGATGACAATTAAAAATTGAAAGAATTTTTTTTTCCTGTATAGAACTTTATTTAAATTTATTGGCTTTTACAGAATAAATAAAAAATTTATTTTGGGAGAAAAATAAATAATTCTTGAATCATTTCATTCATTTAAAAAAACTTGTACTTAGACTGTTTTCTAATTTTAATTAGATAACCTAAATTTAAACTGATATTGTTTATTGTGTTTATTAAATGTATCTGATTTTATATTTTCATATATCGATAATATATTGGCAAATATTTTTACTGACATTTAAAGTAACTTTATGTATAAACTCAGAATTCAAATGACCAAATTTTAAAGAAAAATTTTGATCAGTACAATTTTAATTGAATTCTAATATTTCTTTTTAAGTTAAATATTATTTCTAAATTTTTAAAAATAGTGATATACTTGCCTTTTTTATTTGTTAGATAGTTGTCATTTTTATCTTTTTTAGATTTGAGTTCAGGAATCTGTTTAGGTTTTTCTGAGAGGTACCTATTTTGTGAAAATTTAGACAAAAAAAAATCAACACAAAAATATGATAAAAATATGGATTTATCATTTCTTAAGAGATGCAAAAATAAAATTTTGAGAAAAAGTATTTTGTGAAACAACCGTTTTTCCTAGAGTTGAATTTGTGAAGGTACCGCTAAACGGTAGTAAATTCGGCCTGGACAGGCCCCTGGAGTTAAATATCTACTGATTTAGAATAGCATGTGAAAATCTGACAATAATTACTACTAATCGATAAAATATCACTCTTACCTGTAAAATTAAAATTATTGAACCATAAAAACGTTTTTTCCAAAACTGAGTTTTATATATGTGTTCAATTATTTTTCAGCTCTTTATAAACCTTGTTCACTATTTGAATCATTAAATAGGTGTTTTAATAATGCAGTAAAATCTCTCATGAGTGACCACTCTCTGTTCTACAATAAAATGGTGTTACCTCAATGGACTTCAAAATGTTATCAAAGGTCCATGATTTTTCGCAAGTGATTTTAATTTTCCTCAGTGTCATTTTTTTGGTAAGGAAGTGCTACACGTGTTGGATCATGAAAACTGGATCAATGAATAAAACTTAGTGTCAATAAAAATGGTCCCTAATTATGTGTACAAACAAATTTACCAATTAAAAATGATAGAACTATTTTAAATAAATAAAAATTTATGTTTTTTGTTTTAAGTTAGTATTTAATTTCATATCATAAAAATTAGCTGACTATAAAAAAGAACAGGTTTGTTTGCTTGAAATGCTTAGTTTATTCTAAAATAACTATTTTTCTTATTTAACTTTCAACTCTAAAAATAAATTAGGTATAGATAGCATCATCTTTAGTGCACTCTAACTGCAACATAAGGTTGTCTAGAGATCGTAAAAAAGAGTTCTCTTCATAAGGGCCACCCACGAATATTTTGAATACATTTGAATCTACTTATTTGTTTTGTTAATATCTTCGTTTTGAAATTTTTTTGTTTCCTTATTTGACCTTTTCCACATTTGATGTGGAGGTTTGAATCAGTCTCTGGGAGAGGTTTTGATGGTCTCTCCTAAAGGTTTTTGTCCACACAAAGTCTATGGGAAGAATTCTGTGCGTCCCAAAATTGGTTATAAATAAAGGAGGTCACTACACAAAGGTGGTTTCTTCTGGAGGTTTCGCTGTCTATCCTTTAGTTTAAGAAAAAAAAAACAACTAGATTTTAAGTTTAAAAAAATCACTGAAAAGATAACTAAAATAAAAGATTCTATTTTTAATTTACATTTATTTTTTTTAAGAATTCTAATTGTATTTGTAGTAAATTAATTTATGTATAAAATTTAAGTTGAATAATTCTTAAACTTTTTATTGATTTTCAGAGAGTCAAGGAACGGAAACATTATACTGAAGATTGTTTGCAAGATGAAGAAATTGAAGGACGTCGTATGTTTTCCGTTGAAGAAAAACTCACCTGTGATCGCTTTGAAAGTGGTTTTGTTGATGAAATGAAAGGAGAAGGTATATTTTTAAAAATAGTTACTTTGTGCTTTTGAGTGCTAAAGATGAAAAAGAAATAAGTTTTGAAACTTTGCTAAATCTCTGATTATTCATCTTTAGAGATTAAACAATTAATGTTTTATAAATAGTAATTCAGAGTGGAATTGACTTGAATAACCTTAGTTTTAAAACTTTAAATTTTAAGTTGCATTAATTTGCCTCTTGGCAATTACAATTTTTATGTATTATGATTTAAGACTAAAATAAAGAAAATATAAGTATTTGTTCATAAAGTGCTCTTAAAGAATTGCATGTGCTAACTCTTAATAACAGCAATTTGAGTTTGCAAGAATTTTATTAAAAAAAAAAAAGAATTAAAAATTACTTATCAGATAACTTTGCAATGTTTACAATTAAATTTCTTCAAGATGGGAGGGAGAAATAAAAAATGTAAACAGTTTTATGAAATGACAGGGGAAGTTTCAAATCTTCTCAGCATATTACAATATAAAACATGTCAAGCTTTAAAAACAATGTTTTAAAAAGTTGACCTCCAATATTATGGAGCTCAGATGATTGTAAAGTCTTTGTAAACAATTAAATATTTTAATTATTACTTATAAATATTATATTACAACTAAATATTTTAATTAAAAGTTTTTTTATTTTAATGCTAATAATGTAAAATCTTTATTTATATATTTTAATTTAATTTTAAACAAACCATCGTTTTTTTATTTAGTTATATCTTAAATATATGTTAGTTATAATAAGTATATCATAAGTTGTATTGATTTTTTTTATTTGCAGCAAATCATTAAAAGAAATTTCTTTTAACAAATTTTTGATTAATTAATATTGCATGCTGAAAGGAGACATTTTTAAGAAAAACATTAACATGTAAAGAAATGTACAGTAAAAAACAAAATAACTTTAGCTCAAATTCAAAAAATAATAGAGAATGAATGAAGAATAAGAAGAAAGAGTTTAATCTAGCTGTTGAAATTCTATTTCAACACATATAATTACTAGTTTCATATGTAATCGTCCCCTTCTCTTGTGGACCACTACTAGGAGGCCAGGAGTCTCTTGGATTTACAGACCATCGCCTCTCTTGTTCTCTATGTTTTTTCTTTCTCTATTTTTTTATTGTCTATTTTAATCTTGCCATTAGAAATAAAAAAATAACCAAGAAAACATTTTTATTCATATTACTTTAACTATGTATTTTTATAATAAATATATTGTAAAAACAATTATAAGTTTTGAGTTTTAAACTTCTGATTAAAGCATATTTAATTATTTAATTTAATTATAGATTTCAATTTGAAATATTTACAAGAACATGGATTTGTGAAACCTGTACTTTTTAAGGACAAGGCCGGATTGGGCATGAGGTAGAATAAAATGCTTTTATTTTTCATTGAAATATAAAAATGAAATTATAAGCTCACTTGCCAATGCTTTAAAAGACTAATTTTTGTATATAAGAATGAAATTTTCAATCTTGATCATGATTTGTTTCATGCTAAATTAAATAATTTCTATTTAGTGACATTTATAAATTGCTAATTATTTTCTTAGACTCATTGTTTATTATTGTATGCAAATTAATTGTGTGTTTCAATTCAGAAAGAAAATTATTATTTTTTAGAATGCCAAGTGCTAATTTCACAGTAAACGATGTTCGCCAATGTGTTGGTTAGTCTTTGATTTCTTTATTAGTTTAATTGAAATATTGTTCTAAGTTTTAAAATTGTTTTTGTAAAAAACAATTTGTTCTTAGGGAGCAGAAGAATGCTAGATGTGATGGACGTAACTACACAGAAAGACATTGAAATGACTATGAAAGATTGGTGTAAATATTTCGAGAATCCAAATAGAGACCAGTTGCTCAATGTGATCAGTTTAGAATTTAGTCATACTAGGCTTGAAAACTATGTAGAATCACCTACACTTGTAAGTAATGGTTATAAATTGTGAATGTGTTTTGGAACTTATGGTAATTAGTCAGATAGTATTATTTCTTTTACCATTAAGCATTTTTTAATTGTATATTTCTTTGGCAAAAATTATCTTTAGATATAGATTATTTCATGAATAATGAATTCTTATTTTTATATATTTTTGTTGACTCTAATCCTTTTTTTTTTCTTTTTGCTATGGTTGTTTTTACTACTTTTTTTTTCCACTTCCAGAAATAATTTTTAAACCATTATGATAACTGTAGTAAATGTATCAGTTTCTGTCAATTCGTTGCATTGAATTGAATTGTTTCAGATAGTATAAATAAACCTAATGCTATTTTACAGTTAGTGTAAAAGAGTTAAATTTATGTGTATGATAGTAACAGATACTTCCTAGTGGTTCACTGCTTGTTCTCCGCCTATGCATTGTTTGGTAAAAACTGCTTCTTTAAATGTTTACTATCACCCCTTAAATTTTTGCCCATGAGTTTTGTAACACCCTGTATGTACAGTGCACAAAAAAGGGGCTACTCTGAATAACTTTTGATTTAATGATCGGATTTTCACGTTCTATGACTCAATCTTAATGGTTAGGTGACCTATAATATGCTAATTAATTAGTGTGGATGATATTTAAGTTACAAAAGTACTTTCTCTGATTAGACAAATAGTATTATTTCTTTTACCATTAAGCATTTTTTAATTGAATGTTTCTTTGGCAAAAATTATCTCTAGATATAGATTATTTCATGAATAATGAATTTTTATTTTTATATATTTTTGTTGACTCTAAACCTTTAATCCAAATAGTTCAGGAGAGCGACCCAAAGTTTGGCCCCCCTAATATTAATATTGGTTTTTGCATATTTCACCATATCCCGAGCTAAGTGAATTGAAAATTTTTTGCACACAATTATAAAATTTGTTTTTCCAGATATTATTCCAGGCAAAAAATATTTCACTAAGTATTTACTATTTTTTATTATTTTATTTAATGACAGTCGAAAAACTTTTGAAGAGTAAGGTATGTTAATTTTTTTATAATTTTAAAGTATCTAATTTTAGATGGCGAAATACAAAATTTGAGCAAAATCGGTTGAATAGTTCTTGAAAAATCAATTTTCAAATATTTGGCTTTTTAAAACTCAATTTCTCAAAACCCATTCAATCAATTTTGCTCAAATTTTGTATTTTGCCATGTAAAATTAGACACTTTAAGATGATGTAAAAAATTGTATTCCTTACTGTTCAAATTTTTTTTAACTATAGCTAAATAAAATAATAAATATTTACTAAAATGTGTTTTTTTCTTGGATTTATTTTTGGATAAATGAATTTTATAATTGTGCTCAAAGATTTTTCAATTCGCTTAAAAAGTTCTCCAGTTACAGCGAAATATGCAAAAAATAAAATTAACATTAAGAAGTATGTATGTAGGAGGAGTATTTGTATGACTCTCCTTAACAAACGAGTAGGATCATATTTCCTAGATTGCACCTGCCCCCTTTATCTTGGCGGTCAAAAATCTGGATCTGTCAACAAAAAAAGGGTATGTTTATTTAGAGAAAGTGCGCTTTTGTGTCTGATTTCGTAATTTAAAATATTGTCTGCACTTATAAATCAGCGCATTTAGATCAAAAATTCTTCAGGGTGGTCTGTTTTTTTATTTTTTGTTTATTATTATTATTTTTTTTTTTTGGTGCACTGTAATTTAAATATTCTAACTATTCTTCTATATTAACTCTATTTAAATATTCTAATAAATATTCATAATAGGATTATTTAATTTTTAGGTACGACAAGTTGATTGGGTAGACTGGGTGTGGCCAAGACATTTAAAAGAGCAGCAGACTGAAGGAACTAATTCTTTAGATGAAATGAAGTATCCTAAAGTTCAAAAGTAATTATCCGCTTGAATAAATGCTCAAGAATGTATCAAGTTTTTTTGTAAATTTAATTATTATTTAATAATATTTACTAAAAGAAATAGAAGTTTTAGATAATAAGCCATAATCATTAATTGTTAATCATTAATTCTACCTCAATATGAATAGGGTAGTAGAGTTATTTCGATATGAAAAATTTAAATATCAATAATTGCACAATATTTTGAAAGCAAAAACAAGGAATTTTAATAACAGTCAAATTAATCCAATTTAAATAATCATTTTATGTGCATGCATAATTTTTTTCATCAATTTTTGAACGGACAAAATGTTATCTAAGATATTGATGATAGGTGAAATAAAATCAAAGTTTAAACGTACGTGTGGTGAAACATAAGCAAGTTAATGCAAAAAAAATCTTCAGACATTTATATTTTCACAGTAAATTTTGGGTGATTACAGATAAACTGATTTAATTTATGCACTGTAAAACTCTTAAAAATCATTTTCTTGATACAATTCGATTCTAACTCTACAATAAGGTACTAACAGGGTGGCCACCCACCTGGAAAACCTTGAAAACCTGGAATTATCAGGGAATTTTTTTTATACTTGAAAAATCAGGGAAATTTGGATAAAAACCTGGAAAAATCAGGGAATTTTAAAGAAAAGCTAGAAATTTTTTTAATTTCACTAATGTAAATTATTTACTAATTTTCTTAATTTAAATTATTTCATCTATTATACCCATTTTTTTAGACGGAAATGTATCTCCAAGCAGTTTAAATATCATCAACTTAGCAATATTTTGCTTGCATCAAAATTTGCTCCATTACAGCTCTGTTAAACTAGAATGCCACATAAAATTCACCCACTGTTGCTAAACGAATGTGGAAATCTTTGACCGCTATGGACTGTGCAATTTAGGAAAGATTGTGGTAGAGGTGGAAGAAGGGATATTAGCTTCTGTTTTTAAATTCTGTCCTTGGGCTGAATCCATTTATGGCTTAAGTTTGTTCCTATGATTTCGTGGTAATTTTTTTCCATTTTGACAAAATGTTTTTGTATTTTTAACTTTATAAAATTCTCCAAAAATTAGTTGGTTATAATTTAATAATAATAATAGATTTTATATTGCACTCTTTTTCTGAAAGCTTTTGTATTCCCATTAAAAGAAATCTGTGAATTATTTTTTCTCAGCAAACCAACCAATCACACATTTTTTTTTATAATCGCTACCAGCAATGTTTATCGACAAATTGTTACAATTGTTGCATTAATGCTAATTTTTTCTATTTCATTTTAACCTTTTATAACATATTTTAATTTTAAAAAAAGGTTTTTTTTAGGAACTAACTATATACTAATATTTACTTTTACTCTTTTGTTGGTCAATATATGATTTTTGATTCAAAATTTTGTACCGAAACATTAAAAAATGAATAAAAAATCTTGCCAAATTGTCAAAATAAATTATTTTTTTCAAGATATGTTAAAAAAATATCATTTTGAATAAAATATTTTATAATATAGACACTTTTCTCGCCTACACTTTATTAGAATAAAGAAACTAAAACCTGGAAATTTTAAGATTTTTATCCGGAAAACCTGGAAAAATCAGGGAAATTTGAAATCTGATTTGAGTGGCCACCCTGACTAACTATAAGGGAAAAGATTTAATGTGTTGAATTCATATAGACAAACAAAAATTTTAATACTTTAAACATATGTGATGATTAAAAATATTGAAATTCATTATAAACTTGCTAAATATGATTAATAGATGTTAATTTTTTCTTCATGATATTAAAGAAGACTATTTTAACAGGGATTTTGTTATTTGATAGAATATTTTGAGTGTAGAATTTTATTTTAAAATTTTGGCTGAATTTAGATGTTATTTGAAGAAGTTTCTCAAAAAGCATGATTTATTTGTAAATTTGCTTTGTTTTATAACAATTTCATGATTAATTGTAATATTTTTCAGGTACTGCCTTATGAGTGTTAAGGGATGTTATACAGACTTTCATATTGATTTTGGTGGAACGTCTGTTTGGTACCATATTCTTCGAGGAAAAAAGGTTTTCAGTCATTTTTATCTCTTACTATTTGATATTATGTGTGTGGACAATTGTTCTACTGAAACTTCTTATTAATGTTCACGAAGTGAATTTTTTTTTTAGTTCATATATTACATGGTGCATAGCATTTTTAAAAAGTGCTTGAAGGTGCTTATTTTCGATTTTCGTTATTTAACAATCCTTAAAGGTGCTTTTTTTCATTGGGTGTTTTTAAAAAGTTCTTAATTTTCTCTTTTCAAAAATGAGATTTTTTTTCTTTACATGAATGAGAAATGAGATTTTTTTCCTTATGTTTGTTGAAATACTTGCAAATCCGTATGTGTGTCTACTGAGTTCGGTGAGATCATTGCACTACCATGTGCAACTATGTTGCATTTTGCAAGATATTTTCGATTTTAGACTTCATTTTCCACCCTCTGATACGGAACCAAAAAATTTCCTGATCTTTTATAAGGGCTAATATAATCAAGAAAAGAGTACTTTGTCAGGAACTAGTTAGTTTATCGTGATTATGTAAAGCCTTTGAAAATTATTTTGCATTTTGTTAATGTATATAGTGCTTAAAATAATTTTTGAGTTCTTAAAAAGTACTTAAAAGGTGCTTATTTTTTGTTGAAAGATTTGGCTTGTATTAATTGACTTTCATGCAATTTGACCCCCAATTCCAATAATGAAGTTGTGAAAATTTTTATGTTGTAATTTCTAATTTACAAATGCACAATCTAGTACATTTTTACTTATTAACTGATTAAATAACCTACAGTAATTTTTAAAAGGAAATACAAGATATTATTATTATGTCTATATATATGTACTAATATTTAAAAAAATGAAGAATATATAAATTCAATAAATTTAATGTTTTTTTTCTATCAATTTTTAAACTTCTAACTCATGTAAAAAGTGCTTTTAGATCTTTTTTTTAAATTCATTTTATTACATTACGCATTTGTTATTTAAATAATACTTAGTTAAAATAACATAGTACTAGAGCTGCAGTGTGTTAGCAGACATTGTGTCCTCTGATGAAGTGCTGTTTTTGCTGACATGCATATTTTTAAAATTTTGTTTTGCTTATTTTTAGTTTCTATCTTTTTATTTAAATTATTTACATAAGACAAATTTAAATTTTAGAACTTTTCCATTTTGATTTATTATTTTAAATTTTTATCTTGAAATTTATTTAATCAATTTCATACTATAGTTGGATTACACATTTACTATTCACACAGAATATGTTATTTTGATGCCATAAGTAAGCCATTTATTTAGTAGCCTTGTTGAATTAAATCATTGAGCTTTGTTTTTGTTGTTAATTGCAAACATATCGTCAGGAAATAGCTGAATGGTTTGAGTTAAAGTAGGATCACCAGTGATTTAATTAAGGATGGAAAACAGAAAAGTCAATAAAAATGTATTCAATTGGTAAATAGAAAAGTCATTAAAAAAGGAATATTCATATATTAAGCTGCATTTAAAATAGATTTCAATCTCTTCAACAAAAAAAAAACTAGTCTTGTTCTGTTTTAAAAATAAAATTCAGACTTTTCGATTTCGGCATTGTATGTTTCATTATTTCATTGATTTTCTTGCATTTGTCAGTCATGCTAAATTTTATTTTTTAAATTCCTGACAAATATTCCTGAAATATTTTTGTTTACTTTACGTGCGAATAGCAGAAGGCTGGAATTCTACGAAGTGATGATGATGTGACCTTTAAGTTGATTGTCTACTTTATTTAATAAGTCATTGAAATTTTACTGTATTTTCATTTTCCTTTTAGGTATTTTGGTTGATACCACCTACAGAAAAAAATCTAGCTCTTTATGAAACATGGGTGTTATCTGGGAAGCAGGGTGATGTTTTCTTTGGTGATACTGTCGAGAAATGTGCTCGTGTTCATCTAGAATCTGGTGACACATTTTTCATTCCAACTGGTAATAATTGTGTTTTGATTACTTTTTAAAAGAAAAAAAAAATTATGTAAATAGTTGTTGCCTATAAATATTTTTTTCCATTGAAGACTTTATGTATTATTTTTATAATTTATATTTCATCATATATATATACAAATCTTCCAACTGTTACGATTTAAACATACGAACTACAGTTTTCTTAATTTTGCTATGCCCCATGTTTCCGGTATTGGATCCCACGCTTTTCCTACAGTCTGCCATGCTCAATTCGAGTAAGCAAGGAATGCACATTTGGGAGTATACTTTCTTATAGTGATCCCAAGGAAAGAGAATCGATTTGCAAAAAACGATCACAGTCTCCTGTCGATTTGGTAACAGTTATCAAATGTAATCATCTTGCTGAAATTAGTAATCAAGCAATTCTATTCATTATGATACATTTATGCCATTTATAGCTAGAAACATTTATAGTTGATTGAATTATTGATGTCAAATCATTTTATTTGATGGTCAGTTGTCTTAGTTAGGAAAAAGCAATTAGTTGTAGTCTTATAACATGCATTTTACACTATACAAAAATATTTAAATCTTCATACTTTTAAGTTATTTATATTTTATAAGATTTAGGGGATTGATCATATTAGAGCTATACAATTTACAAATGAAATCTTGTTGATTATTTGCGATTTTTCTTGTTGCTAAGTTGTCATCATGTTTCCTTACACTTTCTTCTTTAATTAAGTTTTTCATTATGGATTGCAATTTATTCAATAATTACTTAAGTTATTTTATTACCATTTTCTTTAAGAATTGTTATAAGCATTGAGCATTTGAAAGTTATGTCTGTTAAAACATTGATTAAAATATTTTTTTCAGGCTGGATTCATGCTGTGTACACTCCTGAAGACACTTTAGTGTTTGGTGGCAATTTTTTACACAATTTTGGAATTGAAAAGCAGCTACGTATAGCTGAAGTAGAAGATTTAACTCATGTATGTAATAATTGCTTTTTACTTTTCATTTTCTGATGAAGAATGTTTTGATTATATTGTATTGTCAGAAACCAATATGACATTTTTGATTTTTAATAAGCTGTGTGATATATGTTTGAAAACAAAAATTGAGTAGCTTTTGTATAAACAACAATTAAACCTTTCTCTTAATAAAAATTTCATGTTTGCATGCTTGTAAAAATTTATCTCTATTAATTAGTATTTTGATGTTGTTTTGTGGAAGACAGATAACAAATGCAAAGTAATTTTACAATCTAAAATTGTTAAATTTGATTCATTGTGGACCCTGAGTAATCACGATTTTGAAATAATTTTTGGGCTGTAATGATGTTCCTTGCAATAAGGAAAATTGAAGTAACAACATAAATTAGGAAAGTTAACTATCAATGTATATATCCTAATAAATAAATGCAAAAAGAAGGAAATAATAATAAAAATGCTTTGGCTATATTGATACAATATTAGAAAGCACACTTTTTTGCAGATATAATCGTGTGGGCTGATGAAAAGATTATATCTTTATTTTACGGAATTTTTTTTTTAAATTTTTTTTTTTTTTACTTTTTTTGGATAATTTCCCCCCTTTTTTTTCATTGTTCTGTTTGTTCTGATTCTTTTTTTCATTGTGTTTTTCATGTTTTGTGTGTGTGTGTGTGAAAGAGAGTGAAAAATGCCAAACTCCGTACCAAAAAAATAAACAAACTTGACTATAACCTTGGCAGATCACTAAGATTAAAGGGTAGTGTCTTCTGTCTAAAAAATTCTCATATTTCAATTTCATACAAAATTCTAAAATCTTTTTATTTCTGGGATTCTTTGGATTTTTCTTAATTCCAAGAAAATTTTAGACTAACAAAGATCTCATTTTTAATATCTTTATTATCCTTTTCATGAATTTTATAATTATGACAAAATTTGTTGATAAATTACTTGTATTATCATTTTAATCTTTGCATAGCAAAAAAATTTTTGCTTATTTTTCTTATATGTTTAAGAAATTGTCCAAAACTTGCTCAACTTAAGCCTTGTCAAACCTGATTCATTATATTTATATAACCAGATTATCAAACATATACGTGTATATGTATGTTTTAGTGCTCAGTCAAAATGTTTATTTAAAAAATTTCTGATTTATATCACTTTTAGGGGCATAACTTATTATTCACATAGGCAAAATATACTTTAGTTTTTTATTAGTTTGTTTTAATTTATTTTGTAATTTTTGCTTTATTAAACGTTTCAAATATTTAATTAAAAATATTTTATGTAAACACTATGTTTTGTAACATGCAGCATTCTTATTTTTTGTTTCATAACTCAATTAATAAAATAAAAAATTATTCTTTCCATTTCAGGTTCCTGTAAAGTTTAGATACCCATTTTACACTGAAATTCTGTGGTACGTTGTTCAACGTTTTGTTCATTGTTTACTGGGCAAAAACTATTTAATTTGCAATGAAAGTGGTGAAGTGATACACAGAACAGATCCTCATACGGATGCTTTAAATTTAACAGCTAATTCAGAAAAAGATCAAAAACCACTTTCCTTAACCCATAATACTGTGCCAATGAATGGTGAGAACTTCTCTTTCCCTTTTAAAGGAATCGGTGATACTTCTCAACAGGAATCTGTAAATGGTGTCAAGCCAGAATCTAATCACGGTGATGAGATCAATCCAGTAACTCAACCAGTGGAATCAAATCATACACCTGTTGAAAATATTCGCAAAATCAGTTTGAAAGAGCATGTACATATCACAAGATTAGAATTCAATGGTCTTAAGGTAACTTCTTAAGGAAATATATTAGTAAAATTTATTACAGTGTAGTGTGAAAATTCTAATTGTTTTGTTGCTTATAGGCAATTCTTAAATGGCTCAGAGGGTTGCCAGTTTCTAAAAAAGGAATACCACTTTATATAAGCAATCCTGATGGTTTATTGAATGATTTGGAAGTGAGTTATTTTTCTGTATAAGGCTTTTAATTAGGGTGTTTTAGTACTCATTGCCTTTAATGTATATTAGTAGATACCTTGGTAAAAAGTATTCGTATTAGAGATTATAAATCTATTATTTATGTAATGAAAAAAAAATTAAAAAATCTGGAGAATCATTATTGAGGAAGGCAAGTTAATAGCATCAAAATCTTTTTAATTGCCTGGTAACATTCTTCAATTTCTATTTTTTAATTTACTTTTTAATATGTACCCTGTCAGGGAGATTTGAAGACTATAAATCTTACTTCTTTGGTAATTTTACTTTTGATTGGGTTTAATTCCTATTAATTTTAATATTTTCTTTAAAATTTTCAGAATACTTAGATTTTTGTTTTGTAAAGACATAAATTTTTAAAATTTTTCTTTCTGTAATTTTTATGTTTTATGCTCAGATCTTTTTTATATATAATTTTGAATGTCTCTTTATTTAATCATATGTTATGTTTTAATTGCAGATTCTATTGTCTGAGCATGAAAATGATGATCAACGATTAGCTATTACTGGAAAACCATCTTTGTTTTGGTTTGATGTTAAGGTATTATGTTAATTATGTATTTTGTTAATTCACTTATGTGTTCAACAGCTACTTCATTGCGATAACTGCATAATTTTATGCAAATAAGCTGTTGACTTTCAGTTTTTCCACTGAAGGGCCAGTTTAGTGCTGCCATGCCTTAGGATCTTTATTTTATATATAGGAATGAGACATCTAACATAGATATCATTTTTTACCAAGTTCATCCTGTGATGCTTATGATTTGTGTTTGTGAATACTTTATATAGAATTTTTCATACTGACGCATTGTAGAAGATTAATATGAAGAACATGATAGAAATGTGACTTTACTCTGTTGGCCTTCCATTTTCTCAGATCTTAACTCTATTGAGTATTTGTAGAGTAATGTTTACTTTTATATCTAGGTACACAACTATCTAGTCCCACACTATTGAAAATGTTCTTCTTCAAAACAAAATGAATATTGAATGTGTACAAAAAATTTTTTGAGAGGGAGGTTGCATTAAATTAGCGATTCAGTGTATATTTGGGGGGGGGGGGAATTACTTTAAATAAATATTTTGAAAACAGTTTTTAGAATATGGTGTTAATTTAAAAAAATGTTTTTTAGTGCAGAGATGATTGTGTTCCGGAAAAAAATCCGGATTTCCAGATTTTTTGCTAACTACGATCCGGAAGTTTCTGGATATCCAAGGTCCAAAAGTTTCAAGAAATCATCTATCACATTTATGTATAAAAATTCTTGTATATTTTATTTAAAAATATTAGAACTAGAATTTATGCTGGGTATCTCTTTCATTTGTAAATATTTTTTCTGGTAGAATGATAAATGTGATTAGAGATAAAAGTAAACTTATAAATAATCATACATTTAAATTACACTGCATATAATTTATTGAAAATTTCATGTTTTGAAAATATCAATGATTTAAATTTATAAAGACATAAATTTTTTGAAATTCGTCAGGATTTTTCTCAAGAAATTTTCAGGATTTTTGAGTTGGGCTCACAATCACCCCTGTTAGTGTTATATTACTATCAGTTTAAGTTCATGGCTTAAGTAAATATTTAGTTAGTAATTGTACACTTTAGTATATAAGTATATATATAAGTTGTTAACATTCAGAAACTCTAAGCTTTAAAATTAAAATGAATATTTGTATAAGCATCAGATATTTTTAGCTTAATTCATGTTTCCCTAAATTCTTAAGGTTTCGAATCATACTGAAAATACATTAGTCTAATTGATATTAGAAAGTATTATTGTACTTACCATTGACTTTTAATGATTTAATATTGTAGAACTTATAATTTTTTGAAATTATCTTTTTTTATTGCATTTTTTATGCATCTAGATGAGTTTACATATTACATTAAATGAGAATATTCCCATTATTTTTTAAAATCACATTAGTCTTTTCAAACTATAATTTTCCAATGATTTAAGCATTAACCTTTTGCGTACAGCGCTGCCATTCTTGTACAGTTGTTGTATCAGACATAAGCAAAAGGTTAAGTGTATCTTCTCAAAATTGTATTTTACTAGTTTTGTTAGCTCAGTATAATAGCGTTATTCTTACAAAGATAAAGTTCTAGTAAAATATTTCCTTCTTGATTTAATAAATTAGATTTAAAATGCTTTTAACCTCTATTATATATAAACTTTCAAAACATATATTTTAATGGCTTGGAAATTATTTTATACTACAGTACAGAACCCATTATCCGGAAATCAGAAAACTGGAAAACCAAAAAACGGGAACGAAATTCGATAAATTTTCCCGCCAACTTTAAAAAATAATTTTTTTTTTTTTCCTCATAAGATTTTAGGATTTTTCTTTCTTTTTTGAAAGATGTTTACCTTACCATCATTTTGGAAATAATCATTAGTGTATTACTTCATCGTTTTTTTTTCTTCTTTAAGATTATTTCCAAATATTATTATTTTTTTTTTTTTAGTTGGGCTTAATAATAAAAAGCACGGTTTTTTGTAGCGATTCAGAAAACCGGAAAAATCAGTTATACTTTGTTTTGAATGATATAAAAAAAAATTTGCTCACCATCAATAATGTAACGGTTATTTTGTTACATTTAGGCGTGATCTGTTTTTAATAAATATAAAATTTGTTAGTTATTCATAATTAAATGTTTGCTTTTTTTATTTGTGCCAGAAACCAAAGCCCAAACCTCGAGCCGCTCCATCATCAGGTTCCTCATCCAAAGGCTCTAAATCTGGTGGCTCTAAAGGTAGTAATAATAGCAATGCTAGAAGGAGAAGAACAAGGTGTAAAAAGTGTGAAGCTTGCTTAAGAGCTGATTGCGGGGAATGCCATTTTTGCAAGGATATGAAGAAATTCGGTGGGCCAGGTAGAATGAAGCAATCTTGCATAAGTCGGCAGTGTATGGCAGTAAGTGATTTTTCTATTATTTGTATCAATGAATGTAATATTAGATCAAAGCAAAATTGTGAATAGTAGAGATTTTATATGATTGATTCTGTGAAAGATATGTTGATTGCTAGAGTCTGTGTTTGAAGAAGAAAAAAATATCTATACAGTCCGACCTCTATTTAACGAAGTCGCTAAATCCCGATACTAAGTTCGTTATGTGTAAAATTCGTTAAATGGAAAATCACCTTTTGAAATACTTAAACGACACAAAAATGGTTTTAAATTCATAAACACTAGACATAATTAAAATAGCAATCGATACACCTTTATCTTGTAAACTAGTATCTACTATTTATTTATTTTACCACACTGTTTGGCACAGCCTGTCCTAATTTGGATCTTGTGCCACTAAACCCTACATTCAATCAATCAGTCTATTTATTTTATAAATCTTAGCCTTAAAAAGAAATCTGCTTGGAAAGCAAGAATAGAGCAAAACATTATCCAGTGTTACACAACCATGTTATAAAATTTTCAACTAAAAAAAGCTGAATTTATGTATAAAATTATAGCTGCATTTATTTGCTGTATAAAATTATAATTGCAAAGTAATTTGAAACATACATTACCATGCATTCTTAAGTTTAATGGCTACTACTGATCAGACCCGTTAATTTTGTCTCGAGTTTTTTGCTTGAAATGCAAACAAAAAGGGGAAGGGATTTTACTGCTTTCTCTAAAAGTGAAGTGGCTTCGAAAATCAATTCGAGATCATTTCCCCCATAAAATGCGTTAAAAAGTTTGAAATGTTCTGAAACATTTTGGAAAATAGGAAAAGTGGATCTCGAAAAAAAGTTCATTGAATAGAAAATTCACTTTGCTATTTGGAAGTTATTTCACTATGAAATTTCCAAAATGTTCGTGGTTCCTTGAAAAAATTCTCAAAATAGAGAAATTTGCAAAATGGAAGTTCGTTAAATAGAGGTCCAACTGTATATATATTTAGTTCCTTGTGTGGAATTTTTATTCCTGTCCTCTTAAATTCTGAAACTGCTAGCGTAATTCTTTTCAGTGATGATATATGAAAGTTGAATGCTATGAAGTAACTTATTTCAAACAGTATTTTATTCTGTATTTACTTGGAAAATCTCCTCATTTATAAAATGGAAACTAAATGTCACCTGATGCTTTTTATGAAACCCTATTAATTAGGTTTTTCTTTATACAACAATTTGGTGGTTAGATTCTCTTTGTTTGCATATGCATAATCATGTATTCTTCAGTTAAATCTAAAATATTGAGTAAAAAAGAGCATGATTTTTCTCTATAATATAAATAAAATGAATATAGGCCTTGCTTTGAACCAAGGATAAAATTTTTTTGATAGAGTTCCAACTTTTTAAAAAAATTTAAGACTGAGTGAAATGGCATGAGATAAAATTTTAAAAAATCCATTACTTCAAATTCAACTGAGTCATTCTACGTGATATTCGGCACTAAGACAAGAAAATAGTCTCCTTTATTTATTGTTTTCTACTGAACTAAGTGTACAACTTCATAAATCACATGTTCAAAATATTAATTATTAAATTCAAAATAGTAATTATAGTATAAATAATATTTTTATTTTAAAAAAATGAATAACTGAAAAATTCTTAAATTCGAAAGAAACTCCGATTAAGTTACCTTTTAATTAGCATTACATATTTACATTACAAAGCAAACTACCATTTATTATCTAATGAATGAAAATTAGTTTCATAAATTAAGTGAGAGAATTTTATATCTTAAGTTATAACTATTAGTCTTAATTATGCAAGTTAGTATTGCTCACATGTGGCAACATTAATGACCAATTTTGGTAGAAAAATTGGTTTTTATTTTTACAATTTAGAGATCTAATTTTAATTTACTTTAAAGACTTCAAATTTACTTCTTTTCATTTAATAATTTTCAGCCCTAAGAATTTTTGAAACTTTCACTCCTCTATTAAATTTATCACTCTGCCAAAAAATTTTGACATTCACGAATAAAAAACTACAAAAATCTCACCTTTTTAAATTTTTTATTTAGTAATATTTTTAAAAGTAATTTTTAAGTAAGTAAATTTTAGGATTCACTATGGAGAATCCCCAGTGTATTTGTATACAATAAATTATCGATATACATTGAAATAAAAGGATAACAAAATGCGACTAAACTGCTAATTGTTTAAAACTGATTTAATTATTCTTTTGATTGTAATTGTGAGTAATAATATTACATCTGTGCACATTCACTTTTTTTCAGCCTGTTTTACCACATACAGCCTGCTGTATGATTTGTGGCAGAGATGGCTGGGACAAGTTGACTAATCCGCCAGAAAACGAAAATTCTAGTCTTATGGAATGTTCACAGTGTTGGGAAATATTGCATCCAAAATGTTTACAAGAGAAGAATCCTGACCTTCCCATGGAAAGTTGCATAAATATGATGACCTACCCAATAGTTGGGAGTGTCCTAAATGTTGTAGAAATGGCAAACCAGATCAGATAAAGGTAATTTTTTAGTATTTACTGTGTTTTTTTTAATGTTTACTAAGATACGGGTGCTAACTTGTTAAACTATGTATCAGTAATATGTTACATGCGTGGCGTGATTGAAAAATTCTTTTGTGATGTGTTTAAGCTTGTTACCAAACTGTTGTCAATGTTAAAATGATATTTTTATGATAGTTGCCAAGAATTTGTTTTTAAAAAAAAATAGAAGATCGTTACCTATAACTATAAAATAAATGCAAAAGATTACTGAAATGTATAAGGTTGCATTTAACCTTAAAAAAACACCAGTGTAGTGTATACCTAAAAGATATATGCCAAGCAGTGGCATAAAAAGAGCGAAACTGAAAAAACTAAACTTATAGCAATTTATAGACACAAAATTATTATTTGATGATACTTTAGAGGCATATAAAAGAGATACATTTTGAAGTTACTTACCTTTAAAATTTCCTTTTCTTCAAAATACATTGATACTAAACTGAAATTTATCTATAGTCATTCTTTTATCAAATGCACAACAATAAAAAATTGAGTCCACAATCATATTAACTCTTATTGCTCACAACATATCTTTTTCTTAACAGACATTCAACTTTCTATTCAAAATAATGCCTACTATAACATTTATTCCGCAGAAACTAAAGTGTCTCGCGAAATTCAAACCTTAAACTGAAATTTAATACTTAGATTTCAGCAGAAAATGTTGCATAGAAAAACAAAAGACCAATAAAACATTCATTGCATCAATGCACTTCTCCTATCTCTGCTAACAAAAATCATCATCGCAACATCAAGTATCCACCTCCAATACAATCTTGCCTAGATCATTCAATTCGTTTGATTCTCTCATACTTCCATTTACATCTCCGTGATACGATTTTAAAAAATGTCAAGCCAAATCTACTACTACTGATTGCTAACTTTATCGCCCTCCCGAATATCGGCAATGTTGCCGATATCACCATGTGACGTATCCTAAAACACAATAACACAGAAATATATACAGTTAGCGTTTACAAAAGAATTAGAAATTCATGGTAGTGCAATTTTAAGGTGTATATACTGCTTAATTTTATATAGGTTTGTGGTATTGGTAAAATTGCTCATGAATTTACTATTAAAAAAAACAAGGAACACTAAGATAAGATATATAGATATGTAGTATTAATAAAATTGTTTATGAATTTACTATTAAAAAACACAAGGAACTCTGTGATAAACCCTAAGATAGATATATAGGTATGTAGTATTAGTAAAATTGTTCATGAATTTACCATTTAAAAACACACAGAACACTTAGATAAACCCATCTACCTCCAAAATAATGCCATTTATTTGAAGGTGGAAAACAATCTTTGCACATCTGAGAGCAGTTAACCTAACAATCAATCTTAACTCCAATCAGTGGCGTACGCAGAATTTTTTCAAGGGGGGTGTTCATAATTTTCTGAAACTACTAAAAGAAATTCGATTATGTAATAAAGCACTATTAGTTCCCTAATTTAGACAGCTAGACAATTTTGACTTTTTATTTAGACAACATTGTTTAGTTAAATTTTGATTTAATTTTTTAAGTTTAAGAACATAATGTAATATCTTCTCGCATGTAATATCTTCTGAAAAAAGTCCAATGTCATATGGGTGGGAAGTAACACTTTGAGGGCCACTTTCACATTCATCAGATTTTGTTATGCTAGAAACGTTTTCTTCAACGGAAGTATCACATTTCTGTACAACAGAAAAACTTACATTGTACTCCGTTCCCCCTTTTATATAATTTTTCACCGCATCTCCAAAATTCTCGAATTGTCTCAAAGACGACAGAACGTCTAAGATTCCAGAATCATCGCGTAAAGACCTCGCGAATGACAGCCAGTCTCGAAAACTATCGCGACTGGCAGAACAGAAAGGAACCAGTCCATAACAGTATCACGTGAATTTGGTTTCAAAAGTACAACCCTATTATAGTAAATGTTTTTTTCAGTATTCTGAGAAATACCGTGAGATAAAAAGGTAGGCATAAGGCAAATAAAAATATATAGTCTTAAAAAATAATACCCGCATAATTTCTACTAAAATTTTTATTTTTGCCATTTTGTCTGATCTCAAAGGGGGTGTTCAAACCCCTAAACCCCTCCCTTGCGTACGCCACTGACTCCAATGTTATTGTCTAACGATTCCCTTAAGTTTCATAAATTTGACAATAAATGACTGATTTCACTAATCAGTGAGTTTACAAACCAGCAAGCATTGCTCTTATTTTTTGTTTACCTCTTTGTTGTGATGTTTTCCTCTTTATTTTCTTCAAATTTCAAAAGCCACTATCCTGATGTATCTGATTTATTTCCTTTTAATTAATATTTTCTTTTATACTTAAATTAAGCAATTTCTCTGTTCAATTTGAATTTGATTTTTCCCAGGATGAAGACTAATTGACTTTTAGAGTGAAAAACTGGTCAATAGGGTTTGCAAGGTCACCATTATTTTATTGTTTTATTAATATAACAAGTACTAGTTTCTATTATTATCATTTATAAAATTCTCTTTGAATTATTGATTTTGAATAGTTTTCTTGACCCTAGAAGTTGCAACCAAATATTACAATTTCAAATATCCTTTGTCTAATTATAAGGTCGACAACTTTTTCATTAAAAAAATTTTTATTAAATTTTTTATTTGTTTATTATTATTTAGAAATTTTTTTTTCCAATGCAGGTAGGTCCTCTGACATAAATATTTTTCTTCATCCCACCTATAGTAATGAATTTAAAGTTTAGGCCTTCATTCTTCTATGAAGCTGCATCTTCATATTCAATTTTTTAGTTTTCCATTTAAAAGACTTGTTTGAACATATTTAAAAGACTTTGAACAATTAATTGCCCTCACAGTTTTATGGTTTGATATTACTCTCTGTGAGATTTATTAAAACTTCTGATTTTAACCTAATTAAGTATAAATGTTTCTTCTAATTTTTCTTTTATCTACAATTAAAATGTATCTACTGTTAATAATTTAATTATTCACAGTGGCAGTTCCTAATGACTTATTTTGTAAAATGTACTAAAATGTAAATATTTTATTATATAGCCGAGACAAATGAAAGGAAAGAATACCAAAGGTGGTGATATATCTAGATTGTCCATCTCAAGTAATGAGAATGGTATTATGGACTGCTCTGCTATCAGTGATGCTCAAGAAGTTATGGACTTGCATCATATGAAAATTGAAGTTAATCAAAGTCATTTACATTCTGACATGACTGATGCAGTTAATAAAAGGATATTCGATGGTGAACCTTTAGATTTGGTGCCTCAAAAGAAAAAAGTATGTATTGTATCATTTTTTGGCAGTTATATTTTTATTTTCTGTGTAGAAAATTTTTATAAAATGTGACTATTTATAATTATTTTTCAATTTTTGATTTAAGCTTCATTCATTTTTTTCGTAAGCATCATTCATTTTTTTTAACCCCTTAACGATCGGTTAATTTTTAAGAAAACGGTCATAAAAGTGCCTCTTTTTTTATACAGGTGTTTGATTAGTGCTGACATCTAGTTTAAAATAAACTAACTATCTACAGTCACCTTAAAAATATCTTGGTACTGCCATCTGCTGTGTAAAATGAGAAATAAAATGTTCTATGGGCAATAGAAATGAATTAGTTTCATTCTTATTGGCGCATTACTCCAGCCCGGGAATATCACGGGAGCGAGAAATAGAGGGCGAAACCTCACTCCATTTTCATTGGAGTGAGAAGGAAAGGGTTAAAGTTAACACCCCCCATATAAATTGAAGTTTACAATAAAAGCAAGGTTTGTGGTAGTCTTTATTTGAAATTCATTTTGAATTTTTTCATGGCATATTATTTTATTAAAGTTCCACTATGATATAAATTTAAATCAAGAGTATTTTTTTGCATATTTTTTATTCTTTATGCAGCCCATTCATCATTTGTATTCCTTTTCTTCCATAAATTTTATCTACTACTAAACAATGATAATAATGTAAATGATGCTGAAGTATGCCATTCATTATCATATTACAGGCAAGCAAAGGGGGGAATCTATTTTTTAGATGAATTACTAAATAACATTTGGATGTTAAGTGTTTATTTGCATATTAAATAGAGTTGTAAAATATTTTATTAAATGTTTAAAATAGGTAGCTATTTTTTTTAATTATGTTTGCATATTTATGGAACAAAAGTGATCCGGAGTGATTGTATCCCGGAATTCCAGGATTTTTGTATCATCCTTCTGAATCTAAAAATTGCGAGCAGAGCAAATGATTTTTCTGGGAATATCGCTGAATGCTGCGTTTCTTAAGATCATTAGTTCTTGAGCTTTCGCTAATTAGAAACATAATCCATTTATATTTTCATGAAATTCCTCATTCTAAAATTTAAATTTCGAATTTTTTGCTAAATCCTGTTAACGAGATGTTTACATACATACAATATTGGCGGTTTCACAGATTTTTGATTATTTGGAACTGCTCCGGAATCCGCTATTATCACGTTTCGTATTCACTTGATTTTGAATATCAAACATTGATCTCTGTGTTTACCTAATTAAAAAGTTATTCATTGCTAATCATATTCACATGATTTAGAAAACGTTTTTTTAAAATACAGTATTGTGATTCACAAGAGTTTAAAATCCAATGTCACAATTCAAATTCACACATTTTTAAAATCCAATAATTTGATTTGTATTCCTGCATTTGTAATATCAAACATCGATTTTTGTATCTATGCAGGATTTAAAAGCTCTGCATTGTGATTCATATTCATGCAATCTAAAAATCATGCATCGCGATTCGTATTAAAAAGTTTTTAAAACCCAATATCGGGATTCATATTCATGCAATTTTAAAATCCAATATCAGATTTCAATATTCATGAGATTTTAAAATCCTGTATCGTGACTCATTTTGTCTTGATTTAAAAATCCAATGTTGAGATTCATTTTCATGCAATTTTAAAATGCAATATTGCAATCAAAGTTTTTCTTGAATTAGTGTTGGTTGGTAATTTAATTAGTAAATTTTATTTAAAATTATCTTATGCGTAGCATGTATGGTATATAAATTGATATTTTGCATAGAAAATTTTCAGGGTTTTTCACTTAGTGTATTAATTACCCTTGAGTAATTGTTTATTGAAAGCTTTAATTAATAGTTTAACGAAGGTTTGAATTGTTTAGTTACTTTTAATTTAGTATTTAAAATATTTGACATTTTGTTTTAAATAAATTAAAAGGAAGTATTTTTTTTCCTGTCCTGTTTTTTTTTTTATCTTTCAATTGCATTGCGTGAGTGTTACATAAATATGATATTAGGATAATGTGTTTCATTATGTAACATTGTATTTTAAATTTTAATTTATTTAATTGAGTGCATGTTTCATGCTATATAGGGAGCTAAGAGAATTAAGAAACATGTAAGTTATCTTAAACAATATGTCAAGACGCATCAAAAAGACAAAAAAAAAAAAAAAAAAAAAAATTGGAACTTTTTGTATATTTTTGTTTAAATAAATATATTATAAGATACAGAAAAGGCACAGTTTTTGATAAATATATAAAAATAATAAATAAATAAATACCTACTACCTAATAATAAGTACCCTGAATAAATTATGATCTAATGATTGGGTTTTCACATACTAGGACTCAAAGGTTCAAGGGAGTGATCTCAAATATGATAATTAGTGAGTGTGTACTATATTTTTTTTAATTTACAAAACAAGATACAAAAATTTACTTTTTTGAATAAACATATTTTTTGCTATGGATTTTGATTTTTGATCCTAAAATATAGGTGTAGCTGCATTCTGAGAAATATAGTTTCAATAGCTTGGTCAAAAGAGAGTTCAAAATTTTGAACCCTTTAAAGTTAATTTTACTTTTTGTGTATTTCGTCATATCTCAAGAACTTTTAAAGCAAATTGGAAAAATTTCTGCACTCGATTCTGAACTTCGTTTATTCAACGATAATTTAATCTAAAAAATAAACATTTATTGTTTTTTATTATTTTATTTAATGCAAGTTAAAAAAGTCAAATTGTAAGGTATACGAATTTTGCATCTTTTTAAAGAATAGTTTTATGTGGTTAAAATTGAATCATATATTTAAAATACTATCTTCGGAAATATTCTAGCTATTTTGTTCAAATTTTGTATTTTACAACATAAAACTACATTATTAAAAATAATGTTAAAATTTGTACATTTCGCTTAAAAAGTTCTCAAAATATGAAGAAATACGCAGCTCTTCTGACGAAACTGTTGGAACCATATTTCCCAGATTGCCGATACCCCATATATTTTGAGGGTCAGAAATCCGAATCTGTTGGAAAAAAAGAGATATGTTTATTCAGAGAAAGTATGTTTTTATGTCTGGTTTCATTACCGAAAATATTGTCTGCATTATAACTATTAGCATATTTGAGATCACCAACTCGAACCATTAAGATTAAGTCCTACTACGTAAAACTGGAATATTTGTTCAAAAGTTATTCAGAGTGTTCCATTTCTCTACTTATTTGTGCACTGTACGCTAATAACAAAATAACTTGGTTTTCTGTAAACTTAAAAGCTTATGTTTAATTTTCTTTTCTACATAATTAAAATTTTTTTAAAAATCAAACTTATGATCTTAACCTTTTTAATTTTAAAGCTTTTATCGGTGTTGCCTATGTAGTTTAATGTACATAGATTTTCTCTCTTCAGCTTTTCTATACAAATGATATGTGTGTATTTGTGTGAAACCTAATCCTAAAAAATTAATAAATCTGAAGTGAGGAAAAAACTATCTTTATTTGTCTGTAATGTGATGTAAACTATTTTGTTTACAGTTGAATTAACTATGTACCTAGAACTTTATACCATCAATGTAATTATTAAAAATTTTAAGAAAGTTGTCACAATGTTCTGTGAAAGTGTTTCATGTTCTTATTTTAACAGGTAAAAGTTGAACTGTTACCTCCAATTAAGCAAGAAGTGATTGATGAATCAAATTATGATTCAGAAGATAATAAAAACAATTTTCCTTACACTCATGGGAATGTGCAACCTATCAGTAGAAAGTATTCCTTATTATCTGATAAAGAGGTATGAATCGAATCTTTTTTTATTACTAATCACAATTGTATTTTATTTGTGTTTGCTGTTATTTCGTTATCGTTCTTTAATAATTTTGACAACTAAATTCGTATTCTTGCAATCATCAGTTTTTTATTAAAATAAATGAAGATTCAAAAAATCATTCTATGTAGCGAGTTAAAATAACTTATCTTCTGCAGTACATTTTTCTTCAGAAATTGATAAACAATTCTTTATTTGTTAAGTTTTTTTCTTCAATTTGTAAAGAGACCTTTTATCCTCTCGAAATTTTTTTTAATTAGGGAATATGTTGAAAGCAATTGATGGTTTAACTAATTTTCATTATCAACATCTTAAAACAATCTTCATTTGTATAGAAAATTAGTTCTGAAAATTAAAAATGAAAAACGTTTTTAATGCTGGGATATTTTTTGAATTTCTCTAAAATTGAATACACATACCGAGATATTGTCTCTAACCCAACCAGATTGCAACACTACATTGACCTTACTTCACAATAATTGGTTTGAAGTTAGTCTTTCTTTTATGATTCAATAATGTCTCTGGCTTCATACTAAAACAATTAATAATAAAATTCTTAGCTTAAATACTAAGTTATTTATCTGTCTGCGTGTGTGTTCTAAGTAATTTTTTAAAAAAAACTTTTATTTCTTTTAGTCAATAAAAGATAGACAAGCTTAATACTACTATTATAGAGTTAATTAACTCTTATATTATCATTTACATAAAATGTTTCTAATGAAATATCAATAAAAAAATTTTATTTGCGTTTTAATATTAAAACTTCATTACAATTTAATATTAGCTCTACATATATATTTGCTGATTGTTTTTTAATTTTTTTATTTCATCATTAATTGAATAGGCTTGAAATCATTATGCCAAAAATTAAATACAATCATACTTGATATGAATAATTGGTTTAAAGTTAGTAATTTTTTATTCACGTATCTATGATATTTCTATGACTTCATGCAAAAATGACCAACGGGAAAATTTTATGTTAAAAATTAAATTAATTCTTGCGTATTAGGTCTTCATGACTATTGGTTTAATAAAAGTGATTTGCTGTCTTGTTCGTCTAATGTTTAGTTTTGGTTGTACTAAATAAATTAAGAATATTTTTAGCCCAAAATATTTATTTTGATATTTTGTCTTCTTGAATTAAATTAAAGATTCATCGTTTCTCCCAAGTCTTTGGAATAAAATAAGTAGTTTAAATCTACATTTCAGTATCCTACGTATTTATTCAAAATTTTGACTTGTTTCTTCCTATTTTATTATTATTGCTAAAAACTTAATCTTTTTGGAATTTTATTTTCATTTTGGCACTTGTCTTTTAATTTGTATGATTTGCAAAAAAAAATTCTGATTTAATATTTTGTTATTATTTTTTTTTATTTAGAATTTGAGAGAAATTAATGAGAAATTCTGAAGTTGATAGCTAAAGATTTAGTTCAGTTTTTCTTTTCAGAAAAATACAAAACGTACTAAAGACTGGTGGGATTCACTTAAAGTTATTTTCTGTTGAAATTAACTGGTATAGTATGTTTTCCGATATGAGAAGACAATTTGGCAGTTTCATATGTTAATGCTGCTGAAAATTATTGTGATACTTGGATATTTGTGATATAATATATATTATCCTAGATTTGTTCCTGTTCTTCAGAGTTTTGTAAATATTATAGTTAAACAGAGTGAGCATTTTAGTAAATCATGTTGATGCTCACTATTATTCTTTTTTTTCTCTCCCTTTTGTGTATTTATATGTTTTAATTTGTTTATCCGTTAAATTGTTGGCATAATCTTAATAAAAACATTGTTTTTATTTATTTTACTTTTCTGGTATAAGCTACTATTTGCTCTGTAATTATAATCAAAAGGCATATTTTCTGTAAATTGTTAGTTTTGCGTTCTTGTAATTTAGAATAGTTTCCTACCTCACCTTTCGTGGAAATTTCATTATGTAAATTTCAAACCATCCAATATATACATTCTAAATCTTACTACCGTTTCATCACGTCAGAGTTTTTTTTTTCTTTGTTAATGTTATACATGCTAGTATTAAGTTATTCCCTATTTTCCACTACCATGGCTGATACAAAATAGGGACAATATTCTAGCTTTATTTCCATGTTGTACTGAAATTGTATTGTTTGAAACTTTCAAACTTATTGCATTTCAGAAATATCTAGCCTCAAACTTCATTTGTATTTTATTATTAAGTATTCTATTTTCCTCCTTATCTGAAAGTTTATTCATTTATGTCATTCATCAACTTTATTATAGTTGATGTGGTTATAGCTTTATACTTCCAAGAATTCATTGAATTTTATTCATGAAAAATTTTTTGGAAAATTTCAATTATTTCTAGTTGCAATAAATAACATATCGGGTATAATAAAGCACCTTTTCAAAATTTAAAATATTGCATTTCAGAAATATCTGACCTTAAACTTTATTTTAGATTTTATTATTAAATATTCTATTTTCGTAATCTAAAAATTTATTCATTTTTGTCATTAAATGTGTAATTAAAATTTTGCTTTCAGATGAAAACCTTTTAAATAAAGGGACAAACATTTATGCTTTATATTATACAAGTATTTCTAGTCTCCCCCCCCCCCCCCCCNCCCCCCCCCCACCATATGCATTAAGTGTAGTAAAATTTGATAAACTGATGAGTTCTTTGCACGAGTTTAAGAGTGTTGAATTTCCATGTTCTAAACGCTGTTATAATTTGTTCTAAATGTGTAAAATTTCAGTCTCATTAATCTCTTGTAAATAAATGCCTTACCATTTTTATCTTCAATCATTACAAATGTATAAAATAGCATATTTTAAAACTTTTATGATTTCTTTTTGGCAACATTTGTATTTTCCATTCATAATCTTGTCTTTTCTTTTTATTATTATTATTTTAATATGTTGATGTTTATTTTGCATTTATTTTGTCGAAATATTGTTACTAATTGTGATTTACTTTTCAATGAATCATGATCATTGAATCTTCCTTTTTTTTTCTTTTTGTTTAACTCACTCATTGTTCATTTTGCACTTGTTTTCTTTTGTTGCTGCTTATTGGAATTTTTAATTGAATAATAAAAGCATAATAAATTTGGTTGTTTTCATTTAGCATTTGTCTTATGTTTTCTGCTTTGATAGTGCATGTTGGGAAATAGTATCCTCCTTGGTTGCATGGCCATCGTTTAAAAATTTAAAAGCTTGCTAAATCTTTTTTACTTTCTGCATCAATCCTTTCAAAATGACTTGTTTGTGCTTGCTTGGTGTCACACTCTTAACTATTATCAATGCAACATGAACAGCATTTTCATTTTTTAACAAAAAACTTTTAAATTTTTAGGAAGAAATCAATAATGGTTGCGTATCTACCCAAATCAAAGAAGGCTTTGATCGTATTAAGAAACAAACTGTTTCTCCATCTCATGTTCGATCTTGTGCACGATACCCTTTACATTTGAAAAAATCCATAAAGAATGAACAAGGCAAGGTACTGCGTGTCAAAAATATAAATGAAAAACTTGAAATAAGAGCAAAGTCTAAGCTACCCATCGGGATGCCGATCAGACGCCATGGCGAAACGGCCCGTGAAAGACTCTTCCGGAATTTGAAAGGGCTGAAGAAAAATTTACTAATAAAGAAGAATTTTGGAAAATCAGAAGAGGCTAATAATAGCAAACCATTACTTAAAGAAATGAAATTTGTTCAATCTCTGGGTGATATCAAAATAAAGCATGAAGTTGCTCACAGCTTCGCTGATGATGAAAAAACAGAAATTGCAAGAATTTCTGCAGAGAAACTTATAAAGTCAGACAAGAATCCAGATAAATTACCAAACACCCAAAGTAATAAGATCTGCTCTATGCTGCAGGATAGCCCTCACCTGAAGAAACCGAAGTATGTCGTTCGTCCAGCTCCCATAGTAGAAGATAACAACGAAGAAAAAATGAGGAATTCTTATCCTGGTTCTGAGAACTTAGCAGTTGAAAAGGAAGTCATGCTACCAGTTTTTCAGTTCCTGTCTGTAAAAGACTTGTACACCTGTCAATTGGTTTGCAAAACTTGGAATCGCTGGTCTGTTGACCCTAGACTGTGGAGGATGATGGACCTTACACGTAAGAAAATAACAGCTAGCACGCTGATTGGAATAGTGCGACGACAACCCGTTACCCTCAACCTTAGTTGGACTAATTTATCTCGAAGGCAGTTGGCGTGGCTCATCGCCAGACTTCCCCAGATGAAGGAACTAGTCGTGAGCGGTTGTTCCTCTGCTTCTATTTTAGCTCTGTGTACGTGTAACTGCCCTCTTTTGCGTTCCCTTGACCTTAGCTGGGTTGAAGGATTGAATGATTCTGTCATAAGGGATCTCCTAGCTGCCCCACCCGATTCCAGGCCAGGTTTTATTGAGAATAAAACAAGGTTACGTCATTTAACTGAAGTTAAACTTGCGGGAGCCGATATCTCTGATGTATCTGTAAGATTGTTAGCTCACCACTTGCCTCTACTATCAAAACTGGATCTAAGCCATTGTCATAAAGTTACAGACATGGGTATTGCTGTTTTAGGAGCAGCAAAATCAGCACGATTACAATCGTTAGACGTCTCGTCTTGTTCCAACATTACGGACACCAGTCTCGATGCCCTGAAACGCTGTACGCACCTCAATTATCTCGATCTCAGGGACTGTGGCCAAGTTACTGAAGCTGCGTGTTCAAAGTTCGTAGGTCAAAATCGGCTGACACTTATTCAAAAAGAAGCTAAGTTTATAAAAAGGCATATTTAATCTATATTTTCACTGTAGGTATTAGACAATGCAGAGCTCATTAACTAAAATTATTTTAATAGTGTTGACACGAACATCGTTTCAGATTAATTGCTTTGAGACTCTTATTTTAATAAGCTTCTTTTTGTGTGAGATATTATAAATATAAAAAAAATCATAAGAAGCTATCATAATCATCATCTTAAGAAGCACTTGTATATTTTCAATTGTAACCATTGTGTTTTATGTTTAACATTTGAAATACTCATTAAAATGTTTCATATTGTATATTCATGATATTTTAATGTACATACAAATAAGCGGATATATTATTTCTTTTTCTGAAAGAATGTCATTGTGAACCAGAAATGTTTTTGTTCATGTTTCTATGTTTATTTTAAATTGATTTTACATATGTAATGTTCCTGTATTGTGATCAGAAACCCATAAAAAAGTTTTGTCTTATTTTAATTTGTGGTTTCTTTTTGCTTCCATAACCAGAACAATATAGCGATGTCGCTTAGAGCTATAATTCAAGATTACCGTAAATTGGCATATAAAACCACTAAATTTGGTATGGATTGTACGTTAAGGCATGCTAATTACACTCTGTAATTTCTAAATTGGTGAGTATGAGAAACTTATATGAAATGTTATTTTCTATGTTCTAGTCTGAATAGAATAAAAGTCACTAGCACTAATTATTTGGAAGTTAAACTAAACTAAAACTCTGGCGCGACAGCCCATAGAGGGCCAAGGCCTACTGTGCCCATCTCAGTTTTCTTGACCTTGGGCTCTGGGGTACAGAAGCAGATGCTCCGGTTAGGTGGTCAGCCGAACGCAATACCCCCAGTGTTTAGTTCCCAAGCATGCTTGGTATTCATTTATCGACCCACTGAAGGGATGAAAGGCTGAGTCAACCCTGCCCGAGGATCAAACCCAGGACCTGTGGCACGGGAGCGCGAAGCGCTACCACTCAGCCACTGGGCGTCTATTTGGAATTTAAAAAAGTTTACATTTTGTCATATTTATGGAACTGCCATTCTTATGCAAAAAAGCGAGGTATTCTTGTATGCAGATTAAAATGAAATGAATTCCAGTGACTGATAGTTTAAAGGTTGTAAGGTTATCGTGTGTGTAATAAGTACAATATTTTGCTCATATTTATTTTTGATATCGAGGAAAAAAAACTAACTTTTTTCTTACCTCATAAGCTGGTAAAAAACAAATAATTAAGTGTAGCACTATTTTTTATGGCTATAATTTAAGGATGTGTAATTATTTTTTCGTGTTGCTTTATTGCCTCTACGAATTTGATCCCTTATCAGCATTGAAGGATTTCAAGTTTAATTC